GATAAATTCCATTATCGGTAATAAATAATTTTTCATTCACGCATGTGTAATATAAACGTATATTTTTTCCTTCAATTTTTGTTTATTGTATGCTAGGAAAAATTCTTAATAGTTAAAGCAAATTAATATGTTTTTGTATTTAAAGTAATATGTAAAAATGAAATAACTCTCGCTGTTCTGTTTTTCCGTATTGCATTAGATTTTGGTGAATTTGGAGTGAATGTATAATCTTTCTTTCGAAATGAGTACTCATTAAAATGAATAAATGTTTTTACTGTTTATTGACAGAACAAACATCCTGGTTGCCAGCGCAAATCTGTTCTATTGTGATGTATCCTCTATAGAAGATTCTTAAGTCCTGTAGGATCTCTACGCGGGATAAAACTCTTGTTATGTTGTCAAAGACTACCAGAATGCGTATGTCGCCAGTGCAAAAAAACCACACACACACACAAACACATTCACACACGCACTCACACACGCACAATATCTCCAAAATTGTCATTTCGCAGAATACTTTTACCCTCATTGGCGACTTTTATTTCGTGGCCAAAGACAAAATGCTTTACTTACATACTCACTGTTAGTGAACTATCTTTGTGAATTTTCTGAAGCCAATTTCTTAAACGTATTTCTTTAATTAGCTCAAAAATTACTATTTATGAAATGTGTTAATTCCGTTGTGCCTTGATGTAGTTATCAACCTAATTAGGAAATACCTCTTCCGATGCAGCAAAGTCAGCCGCTCTGAGCTAATTTTGGGTTCAAATTCCGAGTTTTTGAATGGAGGGAGGCGATGTGTTCATCTGGCGTCTCTGGTATGGTTAGCAAACCACCACATACCCCACCCACACAATTATCGTTTCATAATTGCGCACGAAAGCCATAAATTTGCTTTCTGACTCTGCATTTGGTCGTAAACAACTTGTTAGAGATGTGGCTGAATACGAAAATGGCACTGGATCGTTAAATGAGAAAAAACAATTCACGTCCCATAGGCAATGTCTTCGTTCCGTCAACTAAGGAACCTGACACGTACACATTCCCTTGACTGTGGGTCCTCGCAGGAGCTAATAAGCCGTCTGCAAGAGCGCGCCTAGGGAGCATTCACGTGCAGGCGAAGATCTCATCTGCAGGCGGCCTTGGCGGGGCCAAGCCACGGCGCCTTTGCGTTTTTACTCCTCTCGTAAACAGCCGGGCGCGCTGCCCGGAAATTAAAGGTACGCCCGCGCCCTTTCCCTTCTGCCCCTCCCCTCGCGGCTGTCGTCTTAAGGTTACGGCAGACAGATATGGAGGCGCCGCTCCACGTATCTCGAGGGCAGAAATGAGGGCGGCGATCCCGCCCCTTCGCGGAGGTAGCGCTCCGCTCTCGTCTGCGTTTACTCCGAGGATTTACTTTGTGCGTGGCCCTCCGCGGCCGTGTATAGCGCTGCTCGCGGCTACCTCTAATTTTTCCACTTACGAGCGTGGGTGAATTAGGTTAATGCGCCGGGTATGACATTGCGTGGGGCTAATTAGGTTGACCTCTGGGCACGCCATTTGCCGAGTGACCGCATTCGTCGAGGGAAATGCACATCAACGTGCACTTTTCATTTTCTGGTAGATATATTCGAGCTTGATACGCAAAAATGATTGCATTAAAATTCGTAGCTTGTAATTTGTAATGGTGGTCGACATTGCGTGGGTTTAGAAATGAAATGAATTAAGATACGAGTATTTCGTACTGTTATTAAATAAATATAATAACAATCAGTTTCACAATGAATTCTGCTCAATTTTCTCATCAGTTTTGTTTTTATGATACAATAATTGACGATTAGAATTTGGTGTATTTCGTATATTCTTCTATTCCTTCTGTTTCTTTCATTGTTATCAATATGTGTGTGGGTCTTATCAATATTTATTACTTTGACCCATATGTGGTCTATCTATCTCATTTGATAAATTGTAAATGAAAAAAAGTGTTTTCTAGCGACGTGTTGTACTTTGCAAAGATAATAAGTTTGCATTTCGCGTTATTATTTAAAATTTATCTCGCCTTTGACTGCATCATCTGCCACAAAAAAGGGCCACTTCCCAGAGGAACTGCTCTCCAAGTTGCATTAAGGATCGGAGATAGGGAAGAGCGAGTTCGTAGCGATAGGGTTCTTCTCATCCTCCTGTTGTGGGACGTCGCTTTGAAATTAGAAAACAGCACCCCGCTGAGGGATCTTTTTCATTACTTTTCCACCGCATTTAATTTTAATTACTGGGCTCTTTTGTTTCGCATCTTTTTTCTCTCTTTCCCGTCTCCAAGGAATGAATTATGTGTTTATTTGATTTCGGTAATGAGTCGCATTAAAGTTGGATTAAGGCTGGCCGTAGCGTGCCATCGCCCCGAGCCGCTGTCGTCCACGCGTCGCAAGGCGCTTTGAGCTCCCCTCACCCCCGCCCCCCCGCCATCCTTCTGCAGCGCCTCTAGGCGACGAGCGACACTCAAAGACAAACCCCTGGACTTCGCAGTGTCTGCAGTAGAAAGACGCACCTACACCTTCTTTGAAATTCAAGACCGCCTTGGGGCCCATTGGCATTTTTAAGCAAAGTAATGAAAGTTTCTGTGCTCTTTTTGTTGTACAAACACTTTGAAGGATTTCATTGTAAATTCCAACACGTGTTTAGTTCAATGTTATAATAAAGCATGCTTATCTCTCGAGCAATTCGTTTGCAGTGTGCATTTTGCGAACGAGATCGGTTCGATTTTATAACCGAATATACTTCAAAGTCAACTCGCACATCTTGACGTATCTGGAGTTGACCAAATCTTTTAATTGTGACTAAATTAAAATAAATACACTCTTTATTATGCAGAAACATATGTTTGTCGTTTCCTGTTCTATACTGGGTATTCTATTTTAAGTGGTCCTGAATTAAATCAATTGGTCGCCTCATCGTCTCAGACAAAAATTTAATTTCCGAATAAATTCCTTTATGTTTAGTTCTTCAAAACAGTTTAATAAATATTTTAAACGTGGTACACAAATGGTGGTCATTTTTTACTACACTCGCTACATTTTTTTCAATAAAACAGTACTGTTTGTAGAAAAGTCATGAAACTGCACGATTCCTAAGGTCTAATGTATAATAGGAAAAATAAAAATTAATTCGTGCTGTTGTGCGCGACTACTGCTGGATTAAGGGCATTCGCGATATTGCGATTAAGCACGATATAGATACACTCGCAATATTATCAACTTTTTTTATTAGCCAACTGCACATTTCATTAAGAGCAAGGGCCTCCTGCTTGAACCGGGAATTATTAATACTTCTCTAATAATGTCATAGGATGATGATGAAGGGTGAAAGGTCGATCACAAATACATCCATGCCCGAGGAGGAATTTGAACCCACGATCCTTCGATCCGCGATTGCCACGATACTACTGCCTTAGCGATCTAGCCTACCCGGATTGGCACTATCAACTTACTGATTCTGAAACATAAGAGGAAGCTGGAAGAAAACGCGAGAATTTGGCAGTTTGAGCAGCTGAAACAAATACGAACCTTTTCTTTTCAGGAAGTCTTGAGAATCATTGACGCCCGAAGATAACTAATGATGGATCATTCATTTGCTTTTCAACCTTTGTGAATATTCGTCATATGATATTTGTGATGCATTCAAATAGATGCAACAAATTTACTTACTAGTTATTTTTTATATTCTAAAAAGTATAGAAAAAAGTATTAAGTGTAGCAGTAAGTGATGGATTTAAACACACTTTGACTCATTTTTTTCAAATTGTGGAGGAAAAATGTTATAAAAAGCAAATATTAGAACATTTTATTGAATGTTACGAAGAACAATATCTTGATTCAGATATTAATAAATGAATTAATTGTTTTGGTACTTATTTTATTTTGAATTCTTTTAATTTCGTCATTAATTTTCTAAAATTTATGGAGTTTAATTTTCGATAATATGATGATACATGTGTTCAACATCACTTTTTTATCTATATGTCTTCTATGATTCAGCGTAAGAGAAATATCGTCCTTATCTTTAATCGAAAGAGACAAGGACACGATTTACCTTTACTGCTCTCCTCCCAGCTCACAGGCAGGAAGTCAGCGAAATTTCGTCTCTTATCTTCTGAAATTTAGTGCTGCAGAACGTAATTCTGACTTAAAAGCCTTGCAATAATGAATGAAGAGCAAACATGCGAACACTGTGTATTAAAACCGTACTGTAAAATTATATCATTAGTAAATTAAATTGATGAAAAGATAGCGCACAATATTATTCATTTTAATAGATTAATTTATATTTCAATTCATCAATACAAAATGTTATTTTATATTATTCAGTAAACTTACAACTTACATTAACAAACAAAAATGTTTGACTTGTTCGTCCGTATTTGCGTTGGTACCATTTTAAATAAGGTTTATAAGTACTTGTTTTCATGTTCATTTCCACCGAATACTAACTATATATTTGAGAAGAAGCTGCGAATATACATGTTCTTGCAGATATTACGAAGTGTGTACATAAAATGCATTTGCCTTCATCAGTGGAAATGAATTAATATTGCTTCCAGCTGTTTTCAATCTTTTGGGTAAAATAAAAGCGTAATTGTTTTTAATTTTAATGTAACTTAGTTATCGTGTTTTATATATTGCAACTCACTGGAGAAAATGATAAGCATTTGTTTTATCGGCAAATGAATCAGCTCTTGAAACTATCGTTCTCGTGCAAAACGAGATGCATGATTCACCACATCTCAGTTAACTACGCCTCCGCTCCCGCCTGCCACGTCTGCTCTGCTCCTAAGCCCCGTTTACCCCATCAGCAAATAATGACGCGGAGGCGACCCCGGAGACAATTTGGAGGGCTTCCTGAGGCGCCTGCCTGTTTGCTCGCGGCGTGGCGGGCGCCTGCACGCGCGACGCGGTGCGACCGTTTCTTCCCCTCCCCTCCCCCTCCTGTTGCCTCTCCTCAAAGGCGCCTGTTTGTCTTTGTTGCAGGTAGGCGAGCGACGGCGTCTTGCCGCCCACGCCCGCGCCCACGCCCGCGCTCCAGGCTCCGGCGGTGAGTCCGCCCAGAGGCGAACTTCGTCGGCGGCAGTGCGCGGGGTTGTGCTTCCGCCAGAGCACATTCCACCTCCGTGATGTGCCTGCGAGAGCTTATTAGCACTTAGGCGATCGGATATTTGGAATTAGCTTGAGTTCTGATTCCTTCCATCGTAATTCAATGTTAATTTGATAACGTAGATTATTGTGGTAGCTCAAGCAAATTTGGTAGGGGCAAAACCTCATATTACCTGTACGAGGTGTTTACGAATTTTCATTACCAGCTAATAGAGTTGTAGAGTGTAGAAAATATGAGTTCAGATATAAATATAAAGAGTAAATACACCAAGCAATAAAAAGTATATCATAGAAAAGTACGATGTAGATCATGAAACTAGAAGACTAATACTTTCATATTCTTCAAACAATGTATACGGAAGTGCAATTTGGTACATTAAGCGTATTACCGAAATTCACGGACCAATTGAATTATTTATGACACTTCTCTATTCTGTGTTTGTCTCATTTCTCTGAGTTAGACATTTGAGTTATATCATGGTGAGATAAGTCACTCTTAACGATTAGGTACAATGATTGTATCTAAAATTAATGAAATTTTGTTTCATAGTATTTTCTTAAAATTTGCAAATTGTAAATCTACATCTCAAAAATTAAATTTTTAATTTTGTATGTTTTATATCATAAAGTTTCTTGCACCTTCAAAATATCATTGAAACTCTAAATTCTTCCATTTATCACTGCCGTAGGAACTGAGCTTGATAAAAGAATGACAACAAATTACGTGTTTACTTCATTAATCAATATTCCGGTGAGTTTCTTGGTCTCTACACTACGAGAAAAAACAAGAATTGAAAATGATTACTTCTGACGGGAATTTCATACGAAACTAAGAGGAAATAGTAATTGTGTCATTTGGATATGTTACTTTAAGTTCATCATCCTCTGAAGAAAACTCAACTTTGACAATCACTTTTCACCCATTTTAAAACGTGGTTTTATAAATAAGTCGTAACAAGCTAAAAATGCAGTTAGTATCTAAAATGTCCATTCACGAATTCCGTCCTACCAGAATGAGGGTTCCGCCCACTGCGGCAACGCTTCTCAGCCGCACGGAGGCTCGACAGGCGCCTGTCGACAGGGGGCGGGGTCGCTTCCCGCGTCGGACACCTGGGCATGGCGGTGGGGCGGAATCGCATTTCTCATTCCGCCCGCAGCCCCTGCCTCTTAACTAAGTCACCGGCGCAGGGCTGGTGGACGGAGGAACTGCCAAGGAACTCGTCCGCAAGGCGCTGAGGGCGCCGACCGCGCGCACTGGCTGCGGCTGTCCCTCGCCCGCCCTTTGTGGTGGGGCGCAGGTCGCAGGGCTCAATATTAGCTCCAAGAGAGACAACGTGTTCCGCAGAAAGCCTACAGACATGTTCCCGGAAGGGAATATGGTTGTAGAATACGTTCTGGGTACGGTCCGCCGTAGAGGAATGCAGGCCAGAACATAAAGCAACAATATTCGTACTAGACGGTTTGTTCCAATCATTTTATGCATTTCAATCTAATTTTGTTTCTCAATGTAATTGTAATTTTCGGTACAGTTTACATTTTGAAATATATAAAAAATGACTAAACAATCCTACAGTTATCTTAAAATACGGGCTATCAAAAAAACAACAACAATGGGGTAGCCTCTTGTTTTATACATTTACCGCTTAAACTGTATTATTTTCAAGAATTGAAAGATAGATATTAGTGAACTATGAACTGTATTTAAGCGAAATTCAGTGCGTCTAAAACGTCCATACAATTTTATTTCATCCATTAATCACAGGTTTAGAATAACTTTAATTTCTAGTTTTAAATCCAACATCCAACATTCAACGTTCCGGAGTAGCAGCGATAAAATAAATCCTCTTTTATTTATAGGTTTTGTGATATCGCTTCCAAACTCCCGGGTTTCTACTGAACAGCATTTAATTTTTAAATATGCACGTCAAAACCCAACAGTCATAATCAAATATGACTTATGCAGGACGTTTTATTGACGCTCAGACCTTCATTTAGGAATAAAAAGGGAGATTTGCCGTCGGGGGCTTAGGGATTCGCCCCGATTGGTCGGACGTTGCGCTTTGTGACGGAGCAGCTGCCGTCGCCGCGCGTCTCCGTTCGCCGCAGGCAGCAGCGTGCCACCCGCGCCGCGCAGAACCTAATCCCGTAATGAGTGTTGACTCGCGACCGGATTGACAAGGGCCGCCCGACAATGGGATCGCTAATCGCCTTGCGTTCCAGCGCGCGGGCCCTGCTGTAGGCCGCCACCGCCGTCGCCACCGCCGCAGCAGCCCCTGCAGTGTCCTCCGTCGTCGAGCTTACCGGCGACGGCGCCCGCAGTTTCATGGCGCACCTCACGCCGTTAGCTTCAAGGTGGAGGCAGCGAGTAGGAAATGATAATGCTCTTGGTTGCTATTTTAACCGGGTTCCTGACGTTCTCATATAACAGTTCGACGGAAAATTACTTACCTATGTTCTCGGCGCTACTCACGTCAGTAGTCTAATGGTGTAGGCAGTGAGAAGACGGGGTGGGGGGCTCCGAACTACCTGGACCTTATTTCGGGTGGCCCCCAGTTGGGTTCTCGGCTTTGTCGTAGCAGGAGCCCAACATTCTGGGCATAGAGGGACTCGGTGTCTCGGCGCATGTTAGTGGCGCGTCGTCACGCGGTGATATTGACTCCTGTGTTAGCCTAGAAAACGAGGAGCTCTGAGCTACCAGGGCGGCCCCACCCTGGCATTGAATGGGAAGGTTGTCATGAGAGCAATCTGGGTTCCGGCCGGATCTGGATATCGACCCGTTGTAGTACATCTGTGGCGGCGGGGGTGCGGTTAAAAGCGAAAAATCTCAGTTGCCAACCCCGGGTACGTACGCCCTCCAATAGAACATGTATTGTTGTGAAGTTGTGCCCTCACTAAGAATTCAATGTCATCACCAGGACGATCCACCTCATAACCGTTGTACTCGTCACCACCGTCCACGTCGCCGAAGATATTGTTGTCACCTTCCTCGTCGCCGCCGTCCATGTAATCGGCGTCGTCGTTTCCACCATACTCGCCATTAATTTCCTCGTCACTGCCGTACTCATCACTACCTCCCTCCTCTACCTTGTCACCATGACCTCCACCAATACTTCTACTACTATCACTACTAACACTGCCCTGGCCTGGCCTCCGACATCACCCGCCCATCATCATGCCACTTCTCACGACTCTGCTATCGCCAACGTCACTACGACCTTTGCTCGCCCCTTCGCCTTAAATGTTTTTCGCCGCTCATCACTTTCCCTGAGCCTGTTCCCAAGACAATTTCAACTGCTGATGTGGCCTTCGGTGCTCCGTTTCCATCAACGACCGCAGTCTACGACCGCAGCCCTTTCCACATCTTGCGCCATTTGCAGTCACCACGAGAGATCTGTGTAGTATAACATCGATTTACCGCAGTGGGGTTTGCTCTTGCTGTTGCCTTCTGTGACCACTACCGCTTCCGGTTGTGTTTCTCAAGTTAACTCCGCTTTGATTAGCTCTCACTCCACCACATTCGCGACCACGGTTGTTTCTGAATCATGTGTTGTAATGAAACTGCGAAACTTTCTCGCTTTCTGATCTCTCTCCCTCTCCTTCGTATCGCTTTGTGCCGTAATTCGTTCGTATCTGCTTTCTTTTCTTAATGTATAACATCCCGTGTTCTCACTACTTCAGGCATTGCAGCATTCTGAGTACCTTTTGGACACTCTTTCACATCCTTATCTTTCGAATTTAATTTTTTTCGTTAATCCTAAGGATTTTTATTGTTTACTGTATTCTATATCTTGATCATACTATTAATAATGCGAAATTCAACTATTAGTATATCTATTAATATATCAAAGACGTGTCTTCTCCGTTTAATGTTGTTTCTTTTAAATCATATGTAGCTATTTCAAATCCTGCTGTTAGATATTTAACAAATTATCCACAGAAGGTTAATTACCATCATCATTGCAATATATTATCATACTATTATTATTTTTTCTGAAACATATCTGTATATTTGAAATCAAATAGTTGCATTTAGTTTTCAAAACAAATTCTATTGTTATCCTTAGGAGGATGAAGTGTGAGATGATAGTGATGATACATGGAGAATGGGCAATCACAAACATACACAACCATGCCTGAGGCGGTATTCGAACACACGAACCTTTGGTCCGAGACTGGTACGGCACTACTACTTTAGAGACAGCGACTACCTGGCCTGGCAAAACAAAGGAATTTTTATTTATGTGAATTTCCCTTTTAAATGGTTGTATTACGAAAACGTATGGACACCATCGGGGCAATAACAGAAATAACGGTCTCGGGTCATTGCAAACCAAAGCCAGTCCCCCCGTCTGAGGATTTTCTCTGTGAGGGCGTGATGGCGGTGATGCCTAGTTGGCTCGTGCGGTGCGGAAGCCCTGCCTGCGCGCGGGCGCGGGCGTCTCCATCCGCCCGGCGCCGCAGCCTCCCGGCCCTTGGCGCAGCGCATCGATTTTGCCCCGTCGCCGCGGGCAGGCGGCCGTCTTGCTGTGTCGCCCACGTGGCCCACTCGCTCGCTGCGCTTTCACTTCCTGCAGCTGCAGAAGGCTGCCTTTTAGGGCTTCGCTTCTGTAACGTTGTTTATTCGCATTTCGCGGCGTAAATGATGCTGGGCGGGGAAGGCGGTTTTAAAGTTTGTGAACAAATACGAATTGTTTTCAGAGCAGAAGAAAATAATATTTTCTGATATTTGGATTTGTATGTTCCTTGTGGTTATGAAACAGAAATTATATCTCAATTGAGGAGAAAATGGGTACAAAAATTAATACATTTTACTAAGCATCATATTCCTGGAAGAATAATTGTGAACCTAAAATACTCTGTTTTGATACTTAAAATATTAAAGTTAACTGATTATAATTTCCAAATTTATACATACACGGTAGATATCTTTACGCGGGGTCTGAATTTCTGAATTATTCACAAATTATATCTGATGTTCTCCATGATAATCTTCAAGTATTGTGAGATCTGTTGACAGATGGCATCTGTGCCTTTAATGTTTTACACTAGATGTCGCTAAGCCAGCGATCACAAACTCAGTAAGCTCATGGGGAACTTTCAGTCGATTGGACTGTCTCAGTTTGTCTAACCTGAAGCCGCTCTAAGTAACTTAAACAGATGACTTTCAAAGCAGCTGCTCGCTTACTCTTCACTCACGCTACTCTCAATGTCTGTCTTACAGTTAGTCATTTCAGTTTGAGGTTATGTACATTACGTTTTGAATGTGTACGTCAACATTTGCTAATGGAGATAGTTTGATGAGCATCTCTTAATTTTGTCCTGACTTCTTTTGGTAGCACACAGTAAAATTTAAAAACATTTGCCCATAAATGTTCGACCATTATTCTACACTATTTCTACTTGTTAACGTTTCTCGTTCCATTCGCACTTATTCAACGCTGTTTATCTAGACTCTTCATGTCTATACAGGGACAAATCCTGAATCCTTTAAAACACAAAGATTGTTGAAATAATGACGTTATAATTTCCAACGGTTGCATTAGTCGCTGTTTCCTGCCAGCATTTTACTTGCTGTATATTCAATGTTTTGCTATTCGCACTTCCC